TTACTTACATTGTATATCACATACCTTACTTGGAATCACTTTGTTTGAAAAGCCAAAACATTCAACTGAAGAAACATAAATTAAAGTCTGAAAATTACACCCCAGATGATGACGCAAAAAGAAGTAGCAGGGGGGAAACCCACAGGTTTAGAAGAAGAAAAGCCGCCCCGAATAATCTCAACTCAATTTTTTTGCTAGCCATGATATCTCGGACAAAATTTTTCACAGCTACAGTGCTGTTTTCTGTAAATTAGGTGGCGGAGGGAGTTCCATAAACACCTTGTGCAAGTACTTGGCCTAAAGTAAGCACCGGTTCATATAAACACTTCATCTCTTTTCTTATACCTGGTTAGATAAGAGTTAAAAATGTATCTTAACAGTCTTGATAGGAAAAGCAATGAAGAAAGCTCTTAAATGCCACAACTATGTGTCATCCTTGTCTAGGAGCATAAATTTGCACAGCGGGCAGTGCAGTGAAAACAACTCATAATCAACTCATCACCTCTCATCATTGCTAGGATCAAATGCAAATGGGAAAGAATGCCACTTCAGTCATTGCTAGTGAAAATTAGCATCTGTGACACTAATGGTGTCTCATTTAGTATGCACTTTAGATTTTAAAAAATGGTAAAAAAAAACAAAGAAAAAACTATTGCCAGAGCTGCCATTATATCAGTGTTTCCCTTCAAAATAACAGTGGTATTTGAAACTCCTTTACTCAAAGAAAAACCTGAGTTAAGATTTATTAACACAGATCATTAATCCCAGCCAAATAAAGGTCAACCTGTTCTAATTACAGGAGCAGAGCTTCATTTGTGGTGTCTATTCCTTTTCTATTTTTGAAGTTTCTACCATATTCCCTAACCTGGAGCAACGGTCTACTTGTTATGTAACAATGGGACTCTCTAGGGATTCTTGCACAACATTTGCTTTATTGGAGTTTTTCCTAAAATAAAACTTAGAAATGATTTACAATTGTATTCACACACATGCATACAAACTTTCTTATGTACACACTAACAGGCTTGCTACCAAGAATAATGAAAATACATAGTACTAGTCAGTATTCATACTTGAACCAGGTTGCATACAGTAGAATCAAGAAACTTCATTCACTTTCCAAATACTTATTAAGAGCTTACTACATTAAAGGTGTTATACTAGATTTAGGAGGGAAATACATGCTTTTAGCTATCTCAATACTAGGTCATGATTTTTTTGACAATTTGAACATTTGAATGCTAATAAAGTTGTTCTTATTGTTGTTTTACAATTTTAAGTTTTAAAGCTTGGATGGACAACTGGAGGGATTTAATAGGTGGAATTCTGGCATTTAGTCAGAGACAGGAATGGAGGACCTCTAAATTCCTTTCCACCTGACAGAGAGAGGCTCTTAAAAATATGCTCTCCCAGTTTTCCTTAAAATTTAGCTGGTGATTAAGACAGAAATAGAAATAATATCTACGGTCCCTATGCTTGGAATGGTGGCATAATAATTAAGAACAGGAGTGCCGGAAATTGACATATGTATTTCACACAACAGAGTTTTATTTTTTAATCTGTGCATCTTTGCTTAAGTTCATTAACCTTCTCTATGCCTTCTCATCTATAAGGCTAAATAAAAGTTATTCTCTCACAGAAATGTTACAAATATTAAATAAATTAATGTACAAAAAGCTCTAAACACAGCCACTGGTACATCATAACCTCACAATAAATATAGCAAACTAAAACATTTTAGTTGGAAAAAGAGTTAAGGAAAATTATGTTCTATAATTTAAAGATTTATTGAGTGTAATGAGATCATATCTTTTGAACTCTGCATACTAGATATGCTTATTTTTTTAATTCACAATCAGTAGTGGGCACTAGTGATGATGAGGTGAAAACAAAATTCAAAAAGGAAAGTACAGTACCTTGCAAGTATGTTAAGAAAGGCTATTTTTGATTGACTAATCTAAATGTAGAATACTTAATCATTTATCAAAAAGAAATTTATCAAATATCTTTCTTAATTTGGAATTTACTAATACGCCATAGAGAGTTCTGAGACATGAATTATAACAGTTTCCCTTATGGAATATTTCTGGTCTCTCCTTTTTAACCTACACTATGAATCTCTTATAATAAATATGAATGCTATTTGTCCTATTTATGAGCTATGTGAAGGAAAGAACCCATACCAAAAATGGAGAAACAGAGGAGAATAAAAGGTGAAAAAGAAAACATATTAATAAATTATAGATGGTAAAATGATATTTTAATGGGTTCTGATTTTTTTTTGATTCATGGATATGTTTATTGATAAGTCTTGTGAATATAAGAAAATAATAAATTATTTTGTGTACGGACTTATAAAATCTATTGCTACATTTTATAGCCATGAATGTTTTGAACTTTCTCACAACCACAGGACATATTTAAAAATACTAATAACAAAGTCCTTCTCCATTTATTTACTTTTCAAATGAACAGTTTTGTAACTTTTATTTAAGGAATAACATTAGGTATAATATTCACTCACCATTTGAGTTGGGTATTAGGTCACCTGAACTACAACCCACAGAAGTTAACATGAGCTGCATGACTAAATAATAGTCACCTCATTTTTAATGTAGTTGTTTCTTACCTACTTTAGCATTTACAGTTAAAAAGCAAGGAAATCTCTCTCAGAAATTTTGAAAGAGTATAGCACAAGGAATGTATGTTTCCAGGTCAAGAGATGTGAATGATTGTCTGGTATGTAGTCAATTAGTGTAGACGGTGATTCCCTACATTTCAGACTGATTTCTTGATGGTCCTATTCTATCTTTCTAGACACAGGCCCTATGTTCCCTTCTAGTAGATGAAGGGATTTGCAGTCCTCACTCTACTAGCCATTTATTTGTAGGAATCTCTGCCATCTCTTAGGGATTTGGCTCTTTTTCCATAAAATACACAAAGAAAATTACCCAGTAAAATAAATGTGAATTAAAGCAAAGTTGTTTCTAACACATAATTATAATAATTGGAAAAATATCACCTCCATATTAAAAGGAAAGGATTTAGTTGATCTGGAAGTTATGAACATGTAAATATACATTCACATAGCTCTTTAAATTCATATAAAATGAAACCATCCATCTAAAGGAAACAGGAATTCATTCACAGCAAAAGTTAATGTTTCCAGTGTGACTATTTTCTGTGATATATTTTGTTCCCAGATGTATATTTTATCAAATATATTTTTACATTTATGAATAAGTAAGTCAATAAGATGAACAATATACCACTTCTATTACAATAGTTCCTACAATTAAGGCAAATGATGATCATAGACTAAAGTATCATTTTGAAAATTGTTCAATGACATAAATATGATAGTAGTTCACTACATAATAGAGTTCTTATGAGATACTCTAACTTTAAATTTTAAATACTTGGAGGGAAACCACTGCTTCATATTAATTTTTGTGATCTCCTTAAAACTTATTACTGTCAGCTCAATATTGGTTGTGTTTAATCAAGCAAATTGTATGTAAAAATAATCTTGAACAGAAAGGTAAATAATGCTTTTAAAAACTTTGTTGTATTCTTTGGGAAATGTTACCTTGAATTTTTATTTTATTAAGGGAAAAGAAATCATGCTATGTTATCCAGCTGTACTTTTGGTTTTTCTTTGCGGTATGCGGGCCTCTCACTGTTGTGGCCTCTCCTGTTGCGGAGCACAGGCTCCGGACGCGCAGGCTCAGCAGCCATGGCTCACGGGCCCAGCCGCTCTGCAGCATGTGGGATCTTCCCGGACCGGGGCACGAACCCTTGTCCCCCGCAACGGCAGGCGGACTCTCAACCACTGCACCACCAGGGAAGCCCCTAGCTGTATTTTTAACTAGAGATGCTTGCCTACCCTTTATCAGATTTTTGTGTCAGAAAGAATTAATATTGAAAATCATTTATTCTTAGTTTCCAAAGACTGACAATCATTTATTTTCAGTTTTATTCAGAGATGTTGTGTGGTAACTTGCAAAGAGTTATAAAACATAGACCATTGTTCAATGTCACAACAGTTCAAAAGTTCACAATCAATTTCCAACTCCTTTCTCTCTGAATGGTGCCTAGCAAATAAAGGTCAATAATTGATAATAAATCAGTCCTCTAAAAAGACACCTGAACTCAGTTATTGTTTATTCACAAGCAGATTTAAATTGTTATTTACCTAAGAAACTCAAAAAATATACAGGTTTTGGAAAACTTCTCTGACACCAGTATTTCACAGATATTTTCTTTTATGTTATTAATGAAACTAATTTATAGTTCTACAATAGAATCTAAACTTTGTTACCTCATATCCTACTTTTTAAGCAGTAATTATTTTCAATACAAAGAATAGGGTAACATTTCAAATAGAACCAATTTGTCAAATCTATAAATTTATGGGGTTTTGATGTTTCCCAAACACAACCCAGTCCTCTCTCTAGTAGTGGAGTTAGTTCAAGAGAGAAAGAGTAGAAAAAATAACCTCTACAACAAGCTATCATATTTTAGTCTGAAAAAACGAAAAAAATTAAATATTTAATCAAAACATCTCCATTTTACAACCTCATAATTAAATATATAATGAAGAGCTGAGAATGCAAGAGATAAAATGCACTTGGTAGATTGTTAAATAGACCTTGACACCTTTATAGTTATTAAAAATGTACACCAAGATTTCATAATATCAGCCTTTCAAAAAGAGACCACCAAAATGATTTCCATGAAGTTGACAATACAAGCTCAAAGTTCAGTTACAGATGTAAATAATAAATATGCCCTATAAGATAAAATTACAGAGACAATAATTGTCAGGTATTATTTAACACCTAAACTTAACTTGGCAATTCAATTTTTTCCATATTTGCCATGAGGGATTCAACCCTATGGTTGAATTGATTTATGACTGAGAGATAAGAACAATGTATGTGCGTGTGTATTCTATTAAACATGTTGGTTTTGTCCGACTATGTATGAAATTACCTTACCTTTGGTTTTTGATGTTTCTCCTTCTCTGAAACATTGGATGGTTTTCTCTTCAGCATTTTGAATTCAGACTACTCCGAGTGAGTGCACTTTCTGTTGTTACAGAAACAACTGAAGACGGTCAACAGCATGTTATCTATGATGTAGAGCCACAGATAAGTTTGAGCCTAGTAACCTGCCACTTCCTCTTTTGGTCAGGATATGACTTCACATATACACTGGTGAAGTTTTTTTTGTTTTTTTTTTTACGGTAATTCTTTGGTAACTCTTTAACGTTCTGTTCCTGCTGTATTCTACGAGGTAGGTTCCTAAATCTCACACTTTGACATGCCTGCGTTTACAAGGGCCATGAAGATTTCCAAATAAAGCACATTTTTTCAGTTGATACAAAAATAAAAATCTATAACACATTCCACAGGTAGAGGGGAGAAAACATCTGAGCCAATAAATGAAACAAAACTTGATATGTGAGCTTTTTAGTATTTAAAAATGAAGAGAATACTCAAGGTAGTCAATTTTGCATTCCTAGGTAAACTTTATTGGAAGACATAATAAACTAGACTTTAAACAATACTAATCCTATTTAAAGCATGTATGCACATTAAAAAATATAGAGTATGGATGAAATTCATATAAATAGAAATATGAATCCAGAATTAAATGATTATGCATATTGTTACTTTTGTAAAGTTCTGATTAATATGGAAATCAATTAAACAGTCCCTCAATTAACCAGATGTCCTTCTGCTACAAACTTCTTTGTCATATGCTGATAATTGCTGTTAGAGTGGTGATCCAATGGATCAATGGTACCTTCAAATGAAGCATCCCAAGTCTTTATTTAACGGGCCTGGAAGAGAGCTAATAAGGCTTAGAAAGACTTTCCCTATCAAACTAAAGGGTTTAACATTTTTATTATAATGTCAAAACCAACATAGGAAGTAAAAGCAAGAAGTTCAAGATTTCTTATTAATTAGTGATTTACCAAAGGGAGACTTGTAAAATGTCTGAAATTCCACTTCTATTAAAACCGGCTTGTAAAGGAAATCAACTTAGATTTTGTTTATAAAACCCCTGGAGTGAAAAACAGTGGTACCATATTCTTAACGAGCAGCTTCTCTACAAATCAGCTGACTCTATTTCTCAGTCTTTCCTCATACCTCTAAGACCCTACTCTCTGAAACCCAGCTCTAGTTTCCAAATTTCACTGATTCATTTAACGAATATTAAATTGAGCATCTGTTATGTGCTGTCTGACAATATATCGAGCCTCCTGACTAGCTAAAAAATAGTTTATGTTCTATAGCAGAATTGAAGGAATACACTTGTCAAGATTATGGTTAATATGCTTCTTCTACTGGATATTAAGAGCAGAATTATATTTTTCAAGAATTATCAGGCTGGTATTTTCAAAATAATGACACAGAGGGTAACACTGAAAAACCTGAGGACTCTGAGGTTGGGTAATTCCCTAGAAGTATGCTTCCTTTCAGACTTTCTGTTGGGGCTTAAGTTACGGCAGTGACCTAAGTAAAATTTTTTTCATTTCTTCAGAAATTGAAAGTCATGAAAAAAAGTATTTCTTAACTGAAACATTTGCAACCTCTGTGGCCCCATTTCTTCACCTGTGAGTAGAAATTTAATTCAATTGTGGACTTCAGGCAATAACATGGGAATGATAATGTGCTTATCACATGTTAGGGTTTTGGTGAGAATAAAAGGAAATGCCAATAAAGAATGTACTTATTTAAGAAATGTTTTATGTCAAGAAATGTTCATGGATTTCAAACAGTTATGTTTGGGATAATGTTTGCTATAGATTGTATTTCTATAATCACAAGTAAAGAATAGAGAACACTCACATTCATGGTGACCACAGCTGGACTATATGCAGTTTTTAAAAGTATTGCACTCAAGCGGCTTGTAGAAAAATCTCAATTTATGATCTCTAGGCACTTTTACCATCATTAATACTGTAAGAAATATTTAAAATGTAAATAAAGCTGGAAAGTTTTCCCTCAGAATTAAAGATAGGAAAAGCAATTTTCCAACTTTCTCTTCTACTCGAGAAAAATGTTTTCCAGAGATTAAAAGAAGGTATGACATTTGAGGTGCTATTACAATCTGTATTAAACATATTCGTCCTCAAAAAATCTCAGGTGACAGAGTAGCAAATGCTGTGATCGATTATCTCCTATTTTGTGGAAGTCTGGTGCTATCAAGATATTAAATGAGTGACCCAGAGTGATATAACAAATTCTAAAGTCAAAGGTATATAGAACAGGAATGAGGTAGAAAGTCAGTATTGAGCACACAAATTCCCTGTCATGATGGAACCATGAAGCCACATGTTGCTTAAGACATGTTCTCAAACAGGGAAATTGCAAAAGAGCAAAGTCTCATTGCTTTGTTTTCACACATTACCTTAATGGTCTTAACACAGGCAAGGTGAAAAAAGGCTGGGACTTCGTGGCATATATGTCGATTACAATTTCTGCATCATAGTGGGTAAGGCAACATTTTAAAGAAATTGCAAACAAATGACAGCTATTGGGGTGTATTTTATGAGAAAGTAAAGTGAGACATAAAAGAGTTGTTTCAGCAGTCCAATAAATATTTATTGATAGTTTGCTATCCAAATTCAAATCACAGATTAATTCCTGTCAGCAGAAAGAGAATGCATTGTTCATAGGGACAACAAGTCCCAGAAACTCTGCAATTGCTATTTCTCACTGTAAATTTTAAAAATACTGTGGTGGTTAATCAGAGTGTATCCCAAAAAGGATCCACTCTTGGTGTGCTGCAAACATTATGCTTCTGTTAGAGGAGAGCTGCTGGTGAGGCCCTAGATACCTTGGGAAGCCTCTTGGGAGAGAACCTGGCCTTGTGACATTATTTCTTATTTAAATTTCTAAAGAGATAATGTGGCACATTACCTCACTATCTTAGTTGTAGAAGAAACAGAGAATTGAGATAAAGAAAAAGGACCAACAGTCTAAGATGAATGGTGAACCTAAAGAATCATACAGGAAGAAACTCTTTTGAAACAGAGGAAGAACTTCTTAGATCACATCTATGCATGGCAAGATGTTTGAAAACAACATAAGAGAAGACTTAGTAAACAAAAAATGAGGCATACCAGTGCATCACTGACTAAAACAATTAGGGGATCTAAGTTTAAAATATATGCAAATTACTCAGATTATTTCAACAAATTATAAATATATATTTTCTAAGTTGCCATAATAGGTAATGATAAAACAAAATTTCATACATTTATGATTAAAAATTTAATATTCATGACTTCTTCTTATTCTCAAAGTTAATAATAATAATGATGACTATTAATTCTGAGTGCTTATTATATGCCTTGCATTGTACTTTATTTGTATTTCCCATGTAATCCTCAAAAAATCTCCATAAGCTGGTACTAACATTGTCATCCTCAACTTCCAGGTGAGGTTAGGTAATGTGCCCAGTTTGCACAGTTAGGAAGTGGTGGAGTCAAGGTTCAATCCAAAAATCTCAGCTCATAAACATCACTCTATACCATAGTTATGCCTAAGGACCTGACATAAAATGGGAGTGATTTATTTGGGGGTTAAGGTCAGGAATGGTAAAGACTGGGGAGAGGGAGGGTAATGCTGAGCTACTGGTTGGAAAGAGTGTTTCAATCAGTAGGTGTGTATAAAAATATCAAACCAGTAAGTGTGTAACTATCTAGAACCCTATTCTTTAATTAAGACTCAGTACCACACGGACAAAACTGCTACCTCTTCAATTTTCTTCTCCCACCCAGGCTACCTTGTTGTGACTCTAAGTAAAGAGCCCAGATCCTCTCAATGCAATCTTTAAAATCATTTTTTCTAATTTCACACTTATAAAAATCAGGGTTGGAGCACAGATTAGATTTGTCTACATGCTATGAAATTCCCTAGGTTCTGAAGTTCCCTGCTGATGGCTTTTGAGAAAGCATCCATCTATGAATTGATATTATCTCTGAAGTTACTACCATAAGTATATTCTATTTTCTGCTTGATCTGGAGCTATAGCTCCCCAATTTATGTTTCTAAAAAATATTTATTATTCTCTTAACCTTTGACTTTTAATCTTACAATCTTTGCTTACCTCAATGTCACACTCAAACTATAGTTATAATCTTCTCATTTCTATAATATGTTTCCCTTTTACACTTCTAAATGTCATTTAACATCTTGTAAAAACTGAAATGTTTACCCTAAAAACTTAAAAAACAGTAGCTCCCTGTGACATCCGTTTATACACCCAGACTTCTTATTTCAATTCTTTGTTTTATCCATCCAGTATTAAAACCATTTTTCTCATTGGTTAAATTCATTTTTCTACATGATAGGCCCACACTTTCTTGATTTATGTATTAGACGTTGTCTATTGATTCCTGTTTTTGTCCTTGAGGATTTTGTACTCCTTTCACTTCCCTACTCTCTTATAATTATTTAGTTAAATCATTACTTATTATTATTTTATAAATATTGTTCATGGATAAGTAAAATTATGTTTATTGCTTTGTGTTCCCTTGCTGTTTATCTTTGGAGTTCATAATTGCTAACATATCCCAAATAAATGCCCCCAACAAATTTATCAACTGATTTTTTTTGAACATTTAAGTTCAGTCATCATACTTATAATTTTAAATGCTCAAATATTTCAAATTTATTTTTTCCTTGTTTCAGTGGGGTGTGATTAATCTCTAAGTATGCAGTACTGAGGCTTAAATGGAAATTTTCAATCACCTCTTGGTTTGGATCCTCTTTGACCTGAATCTCACATTATCTTTTTTGTCTATTCTTTCATTTGCAGAAACACACCTCCCTAATGGAAATGTTTTAGGACCTTGTAGATCCTTAACATTTGAATGCTATCGTGACTTGGAATTCTAACTTTATTCTTCTGCAGAATTTAGACAGCCTCTCCATTGTCTTCTAGCTTCCAAAGCTTTTGTTGAGAAGACAAATGATATTGGAGAGAAAGAAAAAAAAAAAAAAAAAAATAAAATATATATATATATATATATATATTCCTTTTATCCTTGGTATGTCCTAAAATGTCATATTGTGTCCTGATATAGTTTATTTTTTCTTTCCCTGCACTGCTCTCTCAATGGCTCTTCAAAC